CATGGAGTATCTTCATTCATTCATCCATTTGTTCATTCATTCACTTTGAGGACACACTAGATACCACAGGAATGAAGAGAAGCTCCAAATCAGATAAAACATGGCCAGAACAGCTCCAAAAGGGGTTAACTACTGCCAAAAGCTACCAAAGAGGAAGGAATCCAGTGTGGGGTGAAAGGGCAAAGCATGGACTGAGAGACTACTCAGAAGGGGCTACTCCAGGGCTGCCCACACCCACTCAGCTGCCCAGCATAGCCCCTGGGCTCATGAGAGAAGACTAAAGACAAGCTGCGGGAGAGAGGAGACTGACTGGAGTGAATCTCTGCTCTGCCTGGAGAGCAGTACTGGCTCTCTCATTTCACTTGGGTCTTCCTCAGGACAGGGGCCTGCTTGGAAGAGCTTTGTGAGTGGAGTGGTTCATCCAGTGAGAGAGAATGACTGAGTGGGCTTGGTCAACAGGTTTTCCAGCGCAGGAGTGAGGATTAAAAGAAAAGACGATTAGACAAAAATTGCAGCATGACCCCAGCCAGTTCTGAGGCTGAAGGCAGGTTTGTTTACTCCCACTTTTCTTTTAAACTCTTTTAATTACATGCAAGTATTTAGGTCAGTCCTAGGTTGAGGAACCAACAATACAAAGGATACAAACAGTTAAGGAACAAACAAGGCAATATACAAAGTCCTGTGATCACTCATGTGATCACTCTTGCTGTTTCTAAGGGCTCATAGGGATGACAAAAATATCTGAGCCTACTTCCCTGTCCTAGCCCAAAGTCATATTCATGTCTGAGGCCTACTTCTTTGTTCTAGCCTAAGACTTGGATTCCTGCCTGAACTTACTTCTCTGTTTTAGCCTAAAATTAGATTCCTGCCTGAACTTACTTCCTTGTCCTTGGCCAATGTCAGATTCCTGCCAAGCAGCCCCAAAAGCTCTCCACAAGGGAAGAGACAGTCCTGCCCAAGCTTAGGAGACTGGAGATAAGGGTTCCTCCACTCTAGAGATACCCTCTGACTATAGGGAGGACTTTCTGACTCCACCAACCTTGTCATGGTTTGTGAACTCAGCAAGGCATAGTGGACCAAAACTAAAAAAGCACAGGGATGACTAAGGCTGAGTTGAGCAACTCCTCATGGCTAGGATCAGAGCATGCTAGAATCCATAGATGGGTGGTTGGCCAACTTTCAGTCATCCTCATGAGATAACATTCTATCTGGGAAAGCCAAGAGATTTGTGAGCAAGAAGTGGTACAGGTTGTATCCTGTCTCAGTCAATGTTCGCTTGCTGTGAATAGACACCGTGACCATGGCCACTCTTACCAAAGAAAACACTTAACTGGAGCTGGCTTACAGTTTCAGGGGTTTTGTCCATTAACATCATGGTGGGGAGCATGGCAGCACGCAGGCAGACATGATGCTGGAGAAGGAGCTGAGAGTTTTGCATTTGGATCCACAGGCAAGCAGGAGAGAGTAACACTAGGTCTGGGTTGGACTTTTGAGACCTCAAAGCTCACCCCTCAATAACACACTTCTTTGAACAAGGCCACATTCACTCTAACAAGACCACACCTCCTAGTTCTTCTCTAGGATCACTACTCTCAGATAACTAAGCATCTGAATATGTGAGCCTAGGGGAGCATTCTTATTCAAACTATCACACACCCCAATGGGGTAAGGCAGATCATCCTGTCCACTTGACTGGGAAGACATACTACCCTAGCCCCTGCAAGTCCCTGGGGGACACCTGAAGCAGGTGTTTCTAAACATAAAGAGAGGACAGAAAGTTCTACATAAGACAACTTCAGCAAACCTCACTATCACAGAACACATGTCTAGATTCCCACCAAGGTGGGACAGGTTCAGTGGCCACAGAACTCCAGCCTATAATAATGCCATTGGCACAAGCCGAAGTCACAATATGGATGGTCACTCTCAGTTAGAGATGTGGCTCAGTTGCTTAGTATGCATGAAGTCCTAAGTTTAATCCTCAGTATGCATAAACCTGGTATGGTAGTGCATATCAACAATCCATACTCAGAAGTAGATGGAGTGGGTAGGAGGATTAGAAGTTCATCCTTAGGTACTCAGTAAGTTCGAGACTACCCTGGGCTACATCAGACCCTGCTTTGTTTGTTTGTTTTAATTTCTTATTATCATTGCTCTGGAAGGGTAGATGTTTCAAGCCCAAGAAGAAAGATTCAGGTAGATGGATTCTGGACTGTTTCCCAAGAGCATCTGAAGGGTGATTATGGAAGCCTTCTATTCAGAAATAGAAAACACTGTGGGGGGACTCTGCAGGGGGCAGCTGTTCAAGCTGCACTAGGAATTGGAACGTCTAGTCAGGTCACAAGGTCTGTGAGGTCCGGACTGAAGCGGACTGACCACACAAGTAAGATCTGTGGTCTTTGTGTTATGGAAGCTAAGGAGTGATAACAGAAGAAGTCTCCCATGTGACCCCACACTGCCTAGGAGTGAATGAGGAAACAGGAAGAGCTGAGCTACCAGTGGAATGGCATCACCTGTCCCTCTCATGTGGTGCCACAAGTGGACTGACTGAAGTAATGGATCCAGGAATAGACCAAGAGTTCAGCACATGAGATCTACTGGTGTAGAAGGTCCTAGCATCATTCCTGAGGCCACTGCCCTTCCCTTAGGAGGGTCCTTCTTGGGGACATGGAACCCCCAGTGTCAGTCATAACTCCTAGAAGTGTATCACTCACTCTCAGATTCCTCTTAGCTGCACAGCATTAAGGGAGCCAGCCAGATGCCTGCAACCCCATGGACCATAGCATTGGCAAGCCCCGGCTCACTGCACAGCCAGGAACCTCTTCACAAGGCTTCAAAGAAGTCTAGGCTTCATGTCTGAGTAATGACAGAGACCTTAGGACACTTGTGAGCTATACATTCATAGTCAACTAAGGCCTCTTCTGATGTAACTTGTTTTCCTGGTCCAAAGGAGGGGCCAGTCCTGATGAATGATGGCTCCTCACAGAGGCCCTGCCATGAGCCACATGTGGTGCTAGACACAAGATGAAGTCCTCTGCCCTCAGGCCCTCCACAGTGACAGCTTGGCAGGGATTCAGATCATTGGAGCAGCCTAAGAGCAAGTATAAGAAAGATATGCTAAATATGAGAAAGACATTTCCATCCTTGGCTACTCAGACCTGTCCTGCCCCCAGGTGAGACCAAGGAGGAGACAGAAAGCCAAGGACCCAGACACTGAGCAACAGCCTGGCCATTGCCTGCTGGATGGCTTTTGTCCTGGAAACACCCCAAACTGTGGATTCCCATGCCACCAAATGTTACTATTGTTGTGTTTATAAGAATAACGAGAGAGAGAGAGAGAGAGAGAGAGAGAGAGAGAGAGA